CATGGTGTGTTATACTGCTGGAAGTAGTTATCAGAAGATGGGTACACTGTGGTCATAAAAGGACCTCGGTTGTATCGAGTGGTTATTTGAGTTCCTGTTGCCTTTCTATCAGCTGGAACCAGTCTGGCCATTCTCCTCTGGCCTCTGGCATCAACAAGGCATTTGCGCCCACAGAACTGCCACTCATTAGATATTTTCTCTTTTTCGGACTATTCTCTGTAAACCCTAAAGATGGTTGTGCATGAAAATCCCAGTAGATCGGCAGTTTCTGAAATACTCAGACCAGCCCCGCTGGCACCAACAACCATGCCACATCCAAAGTCACTTAAATCATCTTTCTTCCTCATTCTGATGCTCGGTTTGAACTGCAGCAGATCGTCTTGACCATGTCTACATGCCTAAATGCATCGAGTTGCTGCCATGTGATTGGCTGATTAGAAATATACGTTAATGAGCAGTTGGACAGGTGTACTTAATAAATTGGCCGGTGAGTGTAAACTTATGTACATAAGTTGAACGTCATTAGCATTTCATGAGCATCAAATTTAGTTTTCCTCTGGATCATTTTTGCTTTTTTTATTTGATGTTATTAAGATATTATATAAGACCTATTCAGCGTGAAAAATACTGACCTGCTAATGCCGATAAACAAACTTAACCGAGCTGTTAATCAGTTGTTTTACTTCAAGATTAAACCTTTTGTCTGGCTGCCCAAGAGACCGAAGTGTAAAATCCTTCATTAAAAATGAATTTATGAAGTGATATGATTCATGTACCTCTTCATTTCGCAGGCAGCAGATACTGCATGGGGAAATATCCCAGGATACTCTGTGGGTTCGTTTTTCTGCAGCAAAACACAAGACAACAAAACGTTTCCAAATATTAAAAATATAACCAGACCATTTCATTACAGATTCAGAAACATATTTGACAGGACAAAATAATTCATAAAGAGAAAAGCTATAAAACGCAAAGGGGTATATCTTGCAGCTTTCATTGCGATTAACAAGTAAAACCATTTTTATGCATTTGTTAATATGAAAAGCATCCATTTGAAGAGCGGAAACCATGCAACCATGATCTGCAAATCCATTGAAATGTATATATTAATTCTTCATGCAACATTAATGACTTTTTTCTTCTCTTTTTTTCTTGCATTACAGTAATGAAAACTGGGGTATATACTGTATGCACTTCTATAGTGAAATAAAAACATTTTAATGCATTTGAAAATATAAATTAGCAAACTTAAAAAGTAGAAATAATTAAATTAGCATATTTACAATTTATATATTTATTTTATGCATTTTTTTTTGCATTGAAGTCATGAAAATAGGTATATGCACTTCTATATTTTAATGCACTTGGAAATATAAATTATCATAAATTTAAGAAGCAGAAATAATTTAATGAGGGCTTAAAATATTTTTAAATGTATATATTTATGTTTTATGCAATTTTTGTTTGTGTTTTTGCAGTACAGTAATGCGAACTGGGGTATATGTGCAATTCTGTAATGAAGCAAAAACATTTTTATGCATTTGTTAAGATAAATTAGCATCAATATAAAAAGCAGAACCCATGCAATTATGATTAGAAAATATTTTATAATTAATAATTAATTTAATAAATAATTTCTATATTTATTTTATTTATTTTTTACATTAACAACTTTTTTCTTGTTTTTTTATTTCATTTTTTTTATCGTTTTGCATTAAAGTCATGAAAACTGGAATTTATGGACTTCTACATTGCAGTAAAAACATTTTATGCATTTGTTAATATAAATTAGCATAACATTAAAAATCAGAATTCATGTAATTATAATTTGAAATTATTTTGAAACTTATATATTTATATTATGTAACATTAATGACTTTTTTTCTTGTTTATTTATATATTATTTTTTGTATTAAAGGCTTGAAGACTGGGGTATATGTGCAATTCTATATTAAAGCAAAAACACCTTTGCATTTGTTAATAAAAATTAGCATCAATATAAAAAGCAGAACCCATGCGATTATGACTTGAAAATATTTTATATATTATAATTTATATAATTCTTTTCATGCAACATTAATGATATTTTTATTGTTTTTGCATTACAGTCTATGTGGATATACAGGTGTATGTGCACTTCTATTTTGCAGTACAAACATTTTTATGCATTTGGAAATGTAAACTAGCACACATTTAAAAAGCGATTAGGATTTGAAAGTTTTTTATAATTTTTATATATTTATGTTTTACGCAACACTAATGATTGTTTTCTGTTTTATTTCTTTTTTGCATTANATAATGAAAATGGGTATATATACACTTCTATATTGCAGTAAAAACATTTTTTACATTTGTTAATATAAATTAGCATCATTTGAAAA